TTTTTGATATTAATCTTTTTCAACGTCCATGAGTTCATTCCGTAGAACAGCACAGAAAGTACGTAACATCTCATCAGGCAAAGTTTCATTTCAAGGCACAAATCTCTTCCGCAGAACACTCTCTTCATTTTAGTGAATATGGATCTGTCGTTTTCTATTCTTATTTTGATTTCTGCTGAGCTATCGTTGTCTTCATTTATAAAAGTGCCTAAATATTTGTATTTGCTAACTCGATCGATAATTTCATTGTGTAAATATAAATTTTGGACATTTTGTATTGATTTCGATATTACCATAAATTTAGTTTTCTTTATATTCAAAGAAAGTCCATATTCTTCGCTGCAGTCTGCTATCTTATTCACCAATGTCTTGTAGCTCTTCAAGTGTTTCTGCGATCAGAACGGTGTCGTCGGCAAATCTCAGATTGTTTAATCTAACACCATTTATTTTAATACCTACGGATTGCTCAGAGAGTGTTCTATTCATTACGTCTTCGGAATAGAGATTAAACAGGGTTGGTGACAGTATACACCTTGGCTAATCTACATTTACTAAAACCCCGAAGTCACAAGTTATTTGAAGAAATCAATTTTTGAACACAGCTTAAACATTGATAGTCACAGTGCTGCAACCTTAAAACAATGAAAGTCTACAAAAACACACTATCAAAAAAGTTAGGTTAGAAATTAGTTATAATACACAAAATATCACATTAAACTAAATAATATTATGGAGTGCACAAATAGCAAAAAGAGGAAATCCACTGGGCGAATGAGGGAAGTCGTGAAAAAGCTTAAATTACAAGGTCATGAGACTGGGGAAAGTTGTGAATGCAAACGCTTTCAGTGTTTCAAAAATACATCCGACGCAGAGCAGCAATCTATTGTGACTGCGTTCAATTTATTGAAAACAAGTAATCTTTGGAACAAGACAGTTACCTTTGTTGTATCATACCACACTTGACATACAACGTAGCAGACCGGAAGAAACTGGTACATTAAGAACCAAGGCTTACTGCTATAAAATACGAATTGGAGGCGATCATGTACGTGAAATACCAGTATGCTATAAAGCATTTCTTTCCATACATGGCATTTCTAGCCAGAGGCTACAATATTTGCAAAACAGCTTAAAAACGGATGGTACTATTCCTAGAGACAAACAGGGATGTCATTCTAAAAGTAATAAACTTTCATCAGAAACCGTTTCCTTAATGAAACACCAAATTGAGACCATACAGAAGACATCTGGGCGTAAAGGACATTACAATTTACATGAGAGCCAGCGGATATATCCCTCTGATAAACTGAATGTAAGAAAACTCTGGGATCACTACAGTGAAAAAAATTCCAGACAAAAAAGTAATCTAAGAAGCATATATTTACTTACTACTCACTTTCGAAAACAATAGTAGGAAATACTTTAATGAAAATTTCAACATTTCTTTTGGCTATCCGAGAATGGACACTTGTTCCTCTTGTGATCAATTTTTGGCAGAAATTAAATGTATTAATTTCTAATCTACTTGCAAAGATTTTTCGCTCCGTGCGTGAATGACACGACTCCTACGCGTTTTTATGGACAATTTTTGGAGTCCCAATTTTCAGTTAAACACTATTACATTGTTAAATTATGCGAAATTGCAATTATAATAAATTAGTTTTTTAACTATATTTTTTCGTTTATGTACAAAATAAATGTACTATTAAAATGGGTTTCTCAAAACTTAGCATAATATTCTTTTAACTCCAAACGTAAGAGAAAAGGGAAAAAATCTATTACTGACAAATCAGTTTTTTCACGCAAAAGAGCATATAATTAAAATCAATAATAGAAAAGTTATGTTAACAAAAGCTAAGTCATCTGACCGTTGCTTGAAGCCTTATGAAATATCATTCAAGGGTAAATTATTGAAATTTTTTCCTATTTCATTTGCGTAAAAACGAAATTATGTGAAATTTACTTTTTCATATTAATAGCAGGACATTTATTTTTGCTGTATCTCTAATTTATATGTAATCTTTGGGAACCTTATAAAAAATATACACTCAATGTTTTTGCTTATTATTAGCACATTAAATTTGCAAATCAGCGTTTTTTGCACACATTTTTGTTATATATTTATGACGTAAAATATTTTGGTCCAATATTCCAATTTTGTCATATTTGCGGACTGCACGCTGGCGTCGTTTCAATGTACCCTACTATGTCACGCACGGGAGCGTATATATTAATAATTAATATATTAATAAACCTGTAACTAGTTATTGGGTATTATTGTTCTGCAATTACAAAATCGTACTGCGCCGTTGGAACGTAGTGTGTTAGCTGCATTATGCCAACTGATCACCCCTCTAGCATGTGTTCTTCTATTTATAATATTAGGCTTATCACGTAATTAAATTTTCACCAAATATCGGGTCCTGCATTTTTTAATAATTCAGTTATAATTCCTGTAATTCCTTCTATGACTTTGTTATTTTTTTACTTCCATTAGTATCTATACGTCTTCATAACCAGTGGTAGTAATAAAAACCAAAAAAAATAACTTTCAAATTAAGAACGAAAACATTCAATATTGTATGTTTCAATAGTTACCATAAACGACTTACAGATCGACTGTAACATTTTTCTTGTGTCTGTATTCATTTATTCAAGTATTCAAAACTAGATTTATAGCCATTAAGTGTGATACAATTTGAAAAAATGATAGCGCGTGTATGACATTTAAAGTAATTGTTTTACTATCTACAATAACAACAACTGGTAGTTAAGGTTTTAGAATTATCTTTATATTATTCTTTATGGATCTTACACTTTGACATGACGTATAAATTTTATACAGTGCTAGCCAAAAATGTAGGTGTCTGAAACGCCGACTTCTTATGAGCGACGCAGACGTTGAATCGATTGCCTAGAATTCTCCTGCACACTCTCACGGACAACGACGATGTTTTCGACATATCTTAAGGTGCCCACTTACTAATGTGCATGTATGGCAAAAAATGTGGAATTCAAGCCTTTCAAAATCAGGATCGTCTTGATTTTTAGCGCGTTAGACAATTATAATCGCACAGGGAAGAACGACAGTGAAGGTAGAACGGAAGAACGGCAACAAGTATCTGCATGTTTCATTTCCAATCATTGCTGTACTACTGCTCGTTGGATGTTGCATATTATTTATATTGCTGAATTATGCTATTATGCTGAAATTATTGTTGAAAATTTTATGTCCTCGTCATAGCTCCTTCTAGTTGCCAAAAAACTTAATGTGGCAGTTAACCTTTCATGTGCTGGTATAGCTTGCCGCATTCGCGTGTCCTGTTTTTGTATCAAAGGAGTTACTAAAGATCATAGTTCAAAATACGAATCTTGATCCATTCTTAAGTAATTATGCTAATCTGACGGATCAAGTCGAAATTATTCCAGTAAACTGAGATAACAGTACATAGCTAGTTCTTATAACCAAGCCTTTGTCCATTCCGACCTTTCTTAAACACAAACACATGCCACTGCCATTAATAAAAGATCGTTTTTTGACATCATGTTCACTTTAACCGAAAGCAAATTTAACTCTAATTTAATTCTAAACTGTAAGCAAAAGTACTGGTGTATATCGGCCTGGAGTGTATGGGTTTACCTTACTGCAAATATGCAGAGACTTAATTGCGCATTCTTCCTTCTTAAATAAAATATATAATAATATACATAATATATAGAATATAAGAATAAAATCATAATACCAAAAAGAAAACAAAACACCAGAGAGAAAACACTTCAAAAAACAACAACAAAGCACGATGAAGATAGTTCATAGCTCAAAACACTCGTGGAAAATCGCAAAATACAACATACGCCCGGTTGCCTTAAAAAGGACAAACTCTATATTGTTATATTGTCTCATATTTTTTCATATTTTTCAATGTTATGATATCGATATTGTACTAATTATGATTTTTGTTTCAGGGCTACCTACAAAAAAAATTCAAAAACACACAAAAACGCCCTCGGTCACCAAAAAAAATCAAACAAATAACAAACTAACAAAAACCGGCGCAAGCCAACAAAAAAAAACTAACAAAAAACCCTAAAAAACAGGGCACGTAAGGCCCAACCCCTTGAGCACCAAGTCGCCGAACTGAGCCTAGCTCAGAGCGGAGACTTGAGGCCCAAGTAAGCAATTTTAGTTCGCGATAAGCCACATTAAGATAACAGGAATATAGCGACAATGCGCTGTCCTGAGTTTTAAATTCAGTTAGGAAACCATATTGGGGTTATATTACTCAGGACCTCCACATGAAGAGCATTTGGCTGATAGTTGTGCCCATATCGCGCATCAGAGTACTATAGGGGAAAATTGTTACACCCAAACGTAATTCTTAGGAGTGAACATTTCTCACAGGCTGGGTTTAATTAAATTGCTTGCTCTTCCTTCTTGGTGGGTGCTTGGGTGCTTTACATTTCGTGTATTGGTTGATTGTTTACTGAACCAGTATACTCAAATGTATCTATTACACTGCGAATCCTCTTAGTAGTCCTCTCGGTAGAACTATTATGTGCCAAACATAACACCCATTTGAATAAAACAATTTTATCAAAGCCTGCCAAAGAAATGACAGGCTTTTACAGATGTAGCTTTAAAAATACTGTCGCTACCAACTGTCAAATTTTAAACGTCCCTATTGGAAGACCCTGTATAAATCTGGGCTAAGCTCGGAAAAGATAGATGAATGGATTTATCACAGATACAACATCAATAAAATGAAGAAGAATTGTAGTTATGATATGGCAAATTATTTAATGAAAAATGGTATTTAGATTGGCATACAACTTACATGAGCTTAGAACCAGAACAAAAAAATAAAGAAAAATAAATATTGATTACAATAAATTTAATTGTATTACTCTTATATCTTCTAGTACAGTATTATATTAAGTATTACAAAAAAAAGAGAAAAATAGTAAAAATTAAAGAGAAATAGAATAAAATGAAGACTTACATAGGAACGAAGGTTCTCATAGGATGATGAAACCTGAAACATAAAAAAAAATAAGAAAATCGCAAAAAATTAAAATGTTCATATCGTTTACAATATAGACCAGGGCCGGAAATAACGGGCATGCAAGAGAGACACTGCAAGCGGGCGCCCCTGATTGGAAGACGCCAAATGATCTTTTTCTCACTAATGTTATACAAAATAGTAAAATAGAAATAGTATATTACTTTATGAGGCGGAGAAGCACGACTGTTCTTGACGCGCCCGATATTACGCGCCGAACGAAGTGAGGCGCGTAATAGAGGGCAAGTCAAGAAAAGTCGCTTCTTTGCCGAATAAAGTATACGATTTTTTCTTCAAACGTAGCAATTTTCAACCATAAATAGTACAATTCATACGCTATTTTTACTCGAAATTAACTGTGACAACTATCAAAGTCGTCTAGATGTTAGAAATTAAAATATTAAAGTCGTCGTGGATTTGCGTCTGCCTGGTTACAGTTGTTTGACAGTTGTTTGCAATTATTAAAGACAGCTTATTGTTGTTGCAACCCAAGCGCAAATTTAGTGCGAAAATGGAAAACCTAAACGAAATTGAGTCCGCGGCTAATGATGCGTACGGTTAGCGTACAAGCACTTCCAATAGTGGTGCGATACAAGAGGAGTACGGCAAGTTACCGAAGACGTTTTACTGGCATATTTTTAATATAATGGAAAATGAAAATAAATGGAATCTTCTATAATGTGGTCACGATACTCTATGATAAAATCCGAGTTAGTTATTAGAAAAATGTGGATATTAGCAAATTTTTAAAAGTTACGTGCCTTTCTGAAAAAAAACAAGCGAAGGGTATACTGCAAAGAAGTCTAAAGTTTTCACTAAAGACGAGTTTGATAAATTTTTGTTTGAAGCGCCAGATAAGTTGTATTTAGGATTAAAGGTAAAAAAAATATATTGCAAAGCATGTAGTATACTCTACTAATATTATAAAAATATTTCAGATTGTTTTGTTAATTGGGGTTACCGGCGCCTGTCGATGCGACGAAATGTAAAAATGAAGACTGTGGACATTGGGGATAAAGAAAATGTAATAATTATCAAAATCCCAGACAGTAAAACACGACAAATTAGATATTTTACGATAATTGGTCAAAACTACATTAAACGTATAAAAAGTATGTATCACTGCGGCCTGAAAATTTCACAGAAAACCGATTTTTTATCAAGTACCAAAATGGAAAGTGTTACCGAAGCGTCATGGGAATACATTCAATCAGCGCAGTAGCCAAAAAGTAGCTAGTTATTTAAATTTAAACGTGCAAGCGCATACACGGGTCACTCTTTCGACGAACTTCAGCAACACTTTTAATTGATGGAGGCGGAAATCTAGAATGCCTCAAACGACATGGGGGTAGAAATCAAGCACGGTTGCCAGAAGGATATATAGAGGATTCAATAAGAAATAAGAACGATAATGCTCAAAAAATTTTAAACCCTCATGATTCGCCAACATCGGGAATGATTGCTGAAAGTTGTTCTCGACCATCAGTATCATCAGCAATTACCAATGCGTATCAAGAGTCGGGAACATTTTTGCACGGTTCAATTTTGAAAATGCTCATTACCTAATTGTACTTTTAATATTACTATAAATAAAAATGATGTTTAATTGTTGTTAATGAAATTTGTATTGTTGCTTTGTGACATGTTTCATATTGTTGCCAGACAATATTTTTCCCTCCGCCGTAAAGAAATGGGAAAAAAACCTGCTGCGGCGGAGACATCAAACTTTGACAGGATCAAGTTAGATAAGTAATGTCATCATTATTTGACGTTTGAAGAAAAAATTATTTTTTTAAATGTGGTTTCAATTCCAGTCATAATAGGCTGATTTGTGTTTATTTTTGCATCCCACACACATATTATACACCGCATACAGCATAGTAATAGAATTTATCGGTAAGTAGATTCAGTGGCGCACTCAGGGGGGTACCCCCCCCCCCCAGGGCACTATTCCGACACTGATACTCACAAATTTTTTGAGGAACTCAAAATGGAGGTAGCATAAAAAATGTCGGTGCCCAACCAAAATTCGGTGTGCGCCACTGAGTAGATTATGTTTAAAAAAATATACAACTTTGGGCTTATTAGAAATATTTTGTTTATCTTCTTCAAATGTCTTTTAAGTTGTTGATAGGTTGTGTATCAGCAGTTAGCAGCATAAATGAATGATTTGTAGTAAAATAAACATTTTAAATAAAAATGTTATTAATTGTCTATTAATAATTCTTCTTCTTCTTCCTCCTTCTAGTATGTAGGCTAGCCTGTTTCTTCTTCAATATTAGCCTTCTAAATTGTTTAAATTGTCGCATCATCTTTTTCTTGGTCTGTCCGAAGCGATGCCCGAACTGTGGATTGCTTGGGCGTCTCACAAAATGTTTCTGCAACGAGTTCCATATTTTCATCCAACACAGCGACCACTAAGCGGTACGTCTGATACCGACCCACCTTGTTGGAACTTCTTATACAACTTGTAAACCATCTGCCTTGTAGGAACAGACCTATTTAGATACTTAGTATTGAATTCGTTGAATACCATCGGATAATCTCCATGATAACGTAGGTACGAATTCAAGACAGACTCGTTCTTCTGTAGTGTACTTTACACGGGCTTGGGCTGCCATGGCGACGTGAACTCGATGACCGACAATCTTGAATAAGCGCCACACCAGTCACAGTCCACAACTCCTTCTGTCATCGCACCAATTCGGTACGGCAAGCCCCGTTGCCGCAACCTCACTATTTTTAAATCGCGTCAGACAGCGTTAACTGACATGCCCACCCCGATATTTGGATTTCTTTGTTCCCTATTCTGTAGCCAAGACCTTTACGTACTGCTGTATTATTTCGTACACTATTATATTAAAGAGAAGTGGGCTTAACGAGTCACCATGTCTGACTCCGCTTTGTACTGGTATACACTTTCCATTTATCTTTGCCTGAATTCGATTATGGGGGCTTTTAAGGAATGAACATTTTAAATAAAAAAAATATGTCAATAATAATAAATAATGTTAAAAAAACTATCAAACAATCGATTATTTTATTGAAATTTAAACAAAATGCATCCAGAGGACTATTTTTATGACCGGTGTAGTAGGCCGTGTGCGACTACTGATACACAAAATTAAACTGCGTCTACTGAAAGATTAACAATAGGCTGAGGTGTCAAATTTGTAAAGAGTTGCAGCTGTCAGTTTTTTTTAGAAACGAGAAGTGGGAATACTGGCTTATTTTCACAAGCAACTCCCTTGACTATCTTGTCCTTTCCATCTTCAACCGTGATCTCTTCAACTCTTTGATCGTTTTATCTTTTAGAGTTGAAAAAATAACAGAAAGCAGTAAACCATTCACACAACTCAAGATTCTGTATTGCAACTTAAATTGAATTTACTGAGGTAAAAAGCGAAAAAGAAAACACGTAGTTATACACTGAACAAAAGGTATATTTTGTCGTACGTTTTGTTTGCTGTACAAAACGTACAATAAAACGTATCGTGAAAACCGGCCTTTAAATAAACCAAATCAAAACACTGATTCGATAATATCAACATTGATGTATGCTGAGAAATATAAAATTATTTATCAGACACTGATGTTTACTACTGATGTAATAGTTTTTCAGTTACACCAGCAGTAAACAATGAAATTGACAATAGAAATGCTCACTACACAGTCTAGTCTAATATTATTTTAACTTATTTTTAATTATATTGTATAAAATAGATTAAATAGCAATTACAATAAATGCGTTTGTAGAATAGATTAGAATTGTTTATAGAAATTAACATTTTCAAGTTATTCATACATCATTTTTAAGTTTGAAAATGTCAACAACAGAGATTTAGCATAAATATATTTACCCTAGATAAAAGGTACAAAAAAACTAGGTAAGGATTGTGGAATGTTCATTATTCTAAAATATTCTCGTTCGTTGGTACTTTATTTGAGTAAAATGTCCATTTAATCTAGGTTGGTAACTGTACCAGTATGGTGTACATCAGTCGATTTTGGGTAGTTCTCAGAAATGTTGTTTACTATACTTATATCGATCCAATTTATCTTCAAACTTATGGTTGCAATATATATGTCCAAAGAGAGGTTGTTTTTTTCTATTGATTGTTAATAGTACTTACTTAGATCCATATATTGGTATTTCTATTTGGTTCCATGTTTGGTATTCTTGTTTGATAGATTGATTTTCGTGCCAAATTAACGATATTATTTTTATTATGTTGTGTTTGAATCACCACAAAATTGTATTTTCTTTATATGAATCCATATTTTTCGCTTAATTTTTTTATTTTTTTTTCCGCATGTCTAGAAAATTGTGGATTTTTTTTTTTTTTCATTCTTTTGTAGAAAAGTATCTAAAAGTTAAGTGATCAAACAGCTTGGTTATATTGCATTATTTTGTTGTAGTTATCTCTGTATTCAACAGATCTCCAAAACTGTATCACTGTAGCATTAATGAACTAGTAATTTAAGAGCAAAACTATATCGAAACTAAACACATAATTCATGAGGACCTAACAATTAGTGAACAATGGGAAATGTGCAAAAATAATATTAAAGATGCAGCAAATAATATTCTAGGGCCAGAAAGACTACCACCACGTAATGACTGGTTTGATGCTGAGTGTGAGGACATTACAAGAAGAAAGAACGATGCATATAAACTGATGCAGCAAAGAAGAACCCGACAAAAACAGCAAAAATATAAAGATCTCAGAAAAGAAGAAAAGTGCATTCATAGAAGAAAAAAGCGAACTCACGAAAATAGAATATTGGAAGAACTTGAGGTATTAAAAAAGAAAAACCAAACAAGAAAATTCTACAAAACTCTGAATAATACAAGAAAGGAATTAAAACCAAGGCTCAGACTATGTAAGGATAAGGAGGGGCATATACTAAATACAAAAAAAGAAGTACTGAAAAGGTGGGTGGAACACTTTAAAGAACTACTTACTATAGAA